AATTTTCATGTTAAAGTGGCATCTTCACCACCGCCACGACGTGCATATTGTTCGGATTTTTAGATCGAATCAACAACACCACAGCTTTCATTGGGCTGTCTTTCGCCATCAGAATAGTGGAGGCCATGGGGAACTCCGGCTTTCTAACAGCATCGTTCAGTATCATCGCTATGGAGTTCCCTGAAAATGTTGGTGCCACCTTCGCCTCCCTAGAGACCTGCTTCGGCCTGGGAATGATCGTGGGTCCCACGCTGGGTGGTGCACTGTTCGAGCTGGGTGGTTACACTCTGCCTTTCGTCACTCTGGGTAGCATGCTGCTCGTCGCTGCTTCTTTGACCTACTGTATCCTGCCATCCTACGGTTCAGATTCAAAAGGTGAAGCGCCATCTGAAGGCAATATTATCTCACTGATGAAGGTCCCTGCTATCGCCCTCGCTGCCTACGCCATCATTGCCTCTTCCATCAGTATTGGCTTCCTGCAAGCGACGTTGGAGCCTCATCTTCGTCCACTTGAGATGTCACCCTTCCAGTTAGGTCTCATGTTCGTCCTTAATGGCGCTACCTACGGCCTCTTCGCTCCATTGTGGGGTTTCTTGTGTGACAAATGCATCAACCCCAGGTTTGTGGTGATCTTTGGAGCCCTTGTGGTGATGGCTGCTTTCATCATAATAGGACCAGCTCCATTCCTGCCCATCCCCACCACATTGCCCCTGTGTATCATCGCTCTTGTCCTTCACGGCACTGGGTTTGGCGCCGAACTTGTCGCCACGTTCACCAGTGCTCACCGAGATGCTGTCCAAAATGGTTTCCCCGACGACATTCAGACCTATGGCCTGGTCTCAGGTCTCTGGACCTCTACCTTCGCCCTAGGAGCTTTCATTGGGCCATCAGCAGCCGGGGCATTGTTCGACTGGATCGGCTTCTCTTGGGCGACCGTATTCGTGGTGGCGCTGCATCTCATCGTCGCGCTGTCATTCTCACTCCACATGTGCTTCGGCAAAAAGAAGGTCAGCGCGGGACTGTACACCAAGATCCACCAAAGTTTAGCTCACACGACCCAGAGAAAGCTTCGCTTCTTGGTAAGAAACACTCCATCACCTCCATAACAGATTCCTCTTACTTCAGTGGGGCGTCAGACTCGTCAAATGAATATTACGTGTATTGATCAAAAGATCTTCTTAGATGTGAGTAATGTACTAGTCCTCGCACGTGTCAAGCACCCAGGGGAGGTGTTGGCAAGGTAAATCATGGTTTACTTCATGGACATCCTCTACAGTCCCACCGAGTCTGGCAAGTACCAGGCATCTAGTGGAGGTGTTTGGAAGGTAACTCAATGTTTATCAAATGGACGATCTCTACACTCCCACGACACGAAGATTTACGCAAGTTGATGTGTATAAAGCTTCACGACAGCTGTCCGCAACTTGAAAGATTCCAAGTCAGATGACTTCAGCGCCCACCGTAGATAACCACCGCAACTGTACCAGAGTGGCTGCGCAGCGTCCAGATGTCATCAGTTAGTACAAGCACAGGTCACCGACCGACCTAGTACTGTGGTCCAGGAGAACAGGAGAAGCAGGCGGCGGAGAGGTGGTTCCTGCTATCTTACAACACTCAGCATTATTGTTCCTTAGCCGTACTTAATGTTGGTTTAACTAAGTCACCCCCTGCAGGTCTCAGTAGTATTGTTAATTAGTCCTAATGGTACTCCTACCGACTGCTCAATATTGTTATAAGTGTTGCCCTCAGGGCCTCTCATCTCTACCCAGGTTGTAGATATATCGAGTCAAACGTTTGTGAGAATGTTGTCTAACTTATAAAATAAAACTGCAGTTTATATAAAACTTAATTTGATTTTACCTCCTTTGATATAATATTTATTATACACGTCCTTGTGTGTGTGTGTGTGTGTGTGTGTGTGGTGTGTGTGTGTTGTGTGTGTGTGTGTGTGTGTGTGTGTGTGTGTGTGTGTGTGTAGAGCTAACATAGTACTTTGCTACTTATTAGTAAAAATGCAAATAAATAATTAAAAATAAAAATGAAAAAGGCTAGAGATTAAAATTTAATAAAAAAAAATAAAGGAAAAGATAATAAAAATCGAATATTGTTTGTCAAAGTATAACACTAAATCATAGAATGTTCATAATGAAGTTTAAATTTGATTTGTTGTAATCTAACTTGGTCTTGTATACAGTAACGTCATGGTATAAACCTTGGTAATAAATACCGACAAGTTGGTTTAGAAAGACACGTAAGCAAACACTGTGACATATTTATTAGAAAACGTTTCGGTCCTGGGACCTTGATCACTTCTAACATACAGAGGTAGAAAGGACATTATATATATAGGCGGAGAGTGAGATGTGACGCACGTGACCTGAGGAATGTCATAAGAACATAAGAATGGAGGAACACTGTAGAAGGCCTACTGGCCCATGCGAGGCAGGTTCTTATCAAAACAACCTCTGCCTATGATGAGGACGGGTAGACGATGAAATCATGTGACTCCTGTGTTGTTGGGTTGGTGCTGCTTAAGTATCATGTATGCCAACAGATCACTGTGGTAAAAATGCAGTCAGTGACTGGCAGCAAAGGTCATGACTGTACCTTGAAAATTCTGACATAATGTGATCGCACAGGTTTACGTACTCTGACTAGGCCCACTACTACTGCTATTTCTACTACCGCAATTTCTACTAGTACCACTACTACCACAATTTTGCTGATACTACTACTACTACTTTATTACTACCACTGCAGCTACTACTATTACTACAGTTACTACAATACTACTACTATTACTACCATAGCTAGTACCATTAATTCTACTGTCACTGCAACTACTACACTACTACTGCAACTACTATGCTACTTCTACTGTAATGCTGCTACTACTATTACTACTGCTACTACTATTACTACTGCTACTACTATTACTACTGCTTCTACTACCACAACGATTATACTAATACTACTACTACACTACTGCTACCACTGCCACTACAACTACTGGACTACTACTACTACCACCACGACTATTACAGTAATACTACTACCGCAGCTACTACTACATGCTCTCCGGCTGAGCGGTGCCAGCACACTTAAGATATGTATAACACACCCTTTAAAAGGAGGGATATTGATTTTAGTGAAGGGCTCTTGATCCAAGGAACTGGAGTTACCCTCCTGTTTCATGGGTCAAACTACTTCCCATACGCTGTATGACTCTTACGGCCTTAGAACTCTCCCAGTAACTTTGACATGGAGTTGTGGTGTAGCTGGTAAGATCAAGCGGATGATTTAACTTTAGAATTTAACACTTCAGCGCTTCCAGTCGAAACCTTGTAAAAGTGTCATCGCTGTATAAGCCTTATGGGTTTAGCGCTTGGCTATGATTATAATAATAATAATTGAAAAAGTGCACTTTAACAGCCTTTTAAAAACGTTATGTAGGACGAATGTATAAATGGTTTAGAAAACTAAATTTATAAATGAGACATTTGGGTATCTTCGCCAGTCAGTGGCGATCTGTCCTAGACCATTTTCAAGTTTTTTTTTTTTCGGTCTCTCCTAGATAATGATCAAGTTTCAGTCTAGGAACGAAGCGAAACGTCGTCTTGCTTTCATTATTAATTTTCGATTATTATTATTATTATAAAACTCAAAACCCACGTGGATCATTTAGAATAGGTAGTGAAGGCTCGATTCTCCGTCCACTATTCATGAATTAGGTGGGAATTACACACAAACATCCCGCACACAGGAGAGAGAAGCCCGGGACGAGGGTCGGGTCCAACTTGGACCATCCACAAGTTGTCGTCGTGGGCTCCTCTCTATGTGCGGGGAGAGTTGTTGCAGTCACGCGTGAAGTATTGTTCACTCTTGCAACACTGTGCTGGATAAAGGATATAGGAAAGCACTGGTTTGGCAATGTAGTTGTGTATGAGTGGAACAAACTCCCAGGCTGAATCATGAACCTTGGTACATGAGTGGGTGTGGGTGGGTATGAGTTGGAACTTGTCTAGCATGGGCCAGTAGGCCTGCTGCACTGTCGCTCGATAACACAGTCCGATCATACAGTTGCTCTACACCGCAAGAAGCCTCTCTTTGACCCCGTCGGGGTGTAGAATTTATATTCTACAAACGTGATATCCTTTTCACAATGCTGTCGAATCGTGTGAAAATCAAGCCTGTGAATGGTGCAATAAATGACTCCTCGAAGTTAGCTTTAGCTACTGTCGTTAGGACCTGCCTGCAGGTCAAATTTACGGCAATCCACTCTCTGAAAGACTCCTTCATTGTCGTCTGCACAGATGACACGGAAGCACTAAAACTAATGGACGACTCTTCAATCAGGACCCTACAAAACACAACAATTCACTCTATCCCGTCTCCATTCTTGAAGTCGAAACGTTCGGTCTTTGTGAAAGACTTGACAATATCGTTTACCTCTCTCTCTACTGAAGCACTGAAGACATCTATTGAGGAACAAAACCACGTGGGCCTCGGTAGACAACATCTCAAAGATCCCAAAAGCCGCATCAATGCTAAAGATTACATTCTCAGACATCTCCATGGCTGCCCAAGCTCTCTCTGACGGTCTGGGCATCTCATATTACCACATTCACCCAAGTCATATAGAACAAGAACGTTTCACATACATCTCCCACTGCTGGACCTGCTACTCCTATAATCACACCACCAAGGACTGCCCCCTCAAGAATAAGAAGTTTTGTTCAAAATGTGGGAATGATGGACACGATTTCAGATCTTGCACCATTACTACAGCACCAACATGTCTTAACTGCAAGGGTAATCATCATACCCTTGGCTTCATATCAAGAAGCATAAATAATAGGAGTCCTCAGGTTGTTCTTCAACTCTATACATCCTTGGTTAGGCCTCATTTAGATTATGCTGCACAGTTTTGGTCACCTTATTACAGAATGGGTTTAAAAAATTCTCTGGAAAAAGTACAAAGGAGGATGCAAAGTTTATCCCATGATCGAAACCTTCCCC